TGCGGACCACGCGTCAGGGGCGGAAAAACGGCCGCTGACCACGCGGCAGGGCAGAAAAAATGTCTGCGGACCACGCGTCAGGGGCGGAAAAACGGCCGCTGACCACGCGGCAGGGCAGAAAAAATGGCCACGGACCACGTGCCAGGGGCGGAAAAATGGCCGCGGACCACGTGGAACGGGCGGAAAAATGGCAGCGGACCACGTGGAACGGGTGGAAAAATGGCTGCGGACCACGTGGAACGGGTGGAAAATGGCCGCGGATCATGTGGCATGGGCGGAAAAATGGCTGCGGACCATGTGGCACGGGCGGAAAAATGGCCATGGACCACGTGGAATGGGCGGAAAATGGCTCGTAAGTCGAGGCGAATTCGTAAGTAGAGGTAAATTTTTGGGGCCAGAGCTGATTGTATCTCAAGAATTTCGTAAGTAGGGGCGTTCGTAAGAAGAGGTACCACTGTATAGTACTCTCTCCTTCAATTAAATCTTCACAACCACCATCCTGTAAGGCAGTGTTTCTCAACCATAGCAACTTTAAGAGCATGCTGGCTGGGGAATTCTGGGAGTTGAAGTCCACTCATCTTAAAGCTGCTACGGCTGAGAAACACTGGTTTAGATTAAGGATACTCATACAAAATGGCTGCCATAGGAGATGTCTATATAGAAAACGGCTGCCATAAACTGCATGGCTCCTCACAAAACACCCATTTATCACAAGGTAAACTAGTTTCCCCATTGTATTCTCTACTATCCCACTGGGGATCTTTATGGGGCTCCAAGGCATTCCATTGTTGCAAATAAATATGATGCATACCAGTTTGCCATTCCTTTATGTTACTTAAAAATCTTTAAAAAGTCAAGTGGAAAATTGACCAAGCCAGCTCAGATATTGCCCTGGAAGCATGGAATTTTATCTGCTGGACATCTGCAGTGGAAGCAAAATGCTGATGGTGGAAAAGAAAGGTGCCAACACTCTGACAACAGGGAAATCTAGTGTGACACACACATATGCTTCCAGCAGTCTAGATCACTCTTTCTGAACCTGGTGCCCCTCCTGTCCAACATATTTTAGCCTTGTGTTTTTTTAAAGTGTTTTAAAAATTTTAATAATAATACGTTTTTTATATATTAATGGCTTTTAGTCAGTTGTGCACCGCCCAGAGTCACTTGTGAGATGGGTAGACATATAAATTTGACGAATAAATAAATAAATATTTGGAGGACATCAAGTTATGAAGGCCTGATTCAGACTGGTTCCTAAAATGTCAACAAGCACAACCTATACATATGAAAGCTTATGTCTCCATAGCAACAAAGGATAGAAATCTATTAGATGGGGGGGAAAAACTACAAGATAACCCATGTATCAGTCTACTAGATTTAAATCTCACTTGAGGAGGAAGGCCTACCATTTATGAAGCAGGTTAGGCTAAGAGACACTATCTTACCTGAGTTCACCCAGTAATTTTTTGATCCCAGGCATCATTAGTCTAACATTATTACAATTTCAGGACTATAACTGGTATCTTGGAATAGAGATCTGGCTCTCTCCTATCACTTTCTATGCGACACACATGCAGACATTATAAATGTTACAGAACTACTATATGAGAGAAAGGAAGATCACGGCAGTTTTTTTCACAACTGCGCAGGGAAGAGAGAATTTCAATTCCACATTTATGTGACTTAGTTATAATAAAGCACAAACATTAAAGGGTGAGCCAGAGGGTTCCTACATACAGCGGGTTTTGAGAGAAGACAGAAAGGAACAAGAGAGGCAGTTCTACGGAGACATCATTCTGGGAGGAAGAGTGAGGGATTACTTCATGGAATAGAAGACCTTCAGATGACTAATGTTGGGGAAGGTCAGAGAAAGTGATGGTTTCAGTGCAGAGAGATAAGGCAAGGCCACAGAGAGCACAAAATGCAAGGGGAAAAAAACGCATGTATGATCTGGGAGTAGGCAGAAAGCCAGTAAAGGGGATGACATGGCCAGAATGACAAAAACTTTAGTAGCTTTTGGCAGCAGAGCCCTACCAGCTGGTTGGGAGTGGGTGGAAAAGAAACAAAAGGCAGCTAGAGAGGACTGCAAGAGTCAGCAGGCAGATGAACAGGGCCTGGGAAATAACAAGGTTGGAAGTTGCACTGAACCTCCAGTGCAATTCATTTTTGCTGAACTGGGATTATTCTGTCTCACATTCTGAAGCTGTGAAGGAACAGAACTCTTCGCTAAAACTCATGAAGTCTCAGCCCGTGGTAGACCTAGTTTAGAAGCTAAGCAGGGTTGGTCCTGGTTAAGATTTGGATGGGAGATCTCAAGGAAATGCAATATCAGTAGGTTAGAATGAGAAGATGGAGAAAAAACATCCTGGAGGAATGTAATGGCAAACCACATCTGTTCTCTTACCAAAATAATTACATGGATATGTCTATGAAGCTACCAGGAATAAAGACAAGATGGGTGGGATTCATTCACCCCAACTAAGTATACTTAACTCTGAGTTACTCACTAGAAAAGGGAGAGGGTTAGTGTCAGGCTTCACATAGGCAGAGTGATAAATCTTACCTCTCCAAATACTTTACCCCATATTCAGGAATTGTCTTATTCAGCAAAAGGCTCATGGATACACAAGAATGAAGCCACTTATAGAAAGAAATCAAAGCCTTCATATGTATCTATGTTTCTGGATTTAAATCCTAGGGTTTTTCCTCCCCCCTTTCCAAGCCAATGGATATTTGGCCATTCTTCTAATGGACTTGGAAAACGTAATCTACGTTGGCATAATAGTTCTCTCTAGCACAATGTTTCTCAACCTTGGCAACTTTAAGCTGTGTGGACTTCAAGTCCCAGAACTGGGAGCTGAAGTCCACACAACTGAAAGTTGCCAAGGTTGAGAAACACTGCTCTAGCATAAAAGAACTAATGTTGGTTCCTACCTCATGCCTTATAATTAGTTCCCAATACTCTGTCAACTACAATTCGTAAAGAAAATACTTCCCTCCACGCTTTTTGCTGTTTGTGTGCCCGCTCTTGGTTTTGTGGTGTTTTTGAAAGAGCAAACACCATTTGTTGAGCCTCCTCTTTGCTTTGCAATCATTATACTGGTGGAATTTGAAATGTTGTCTATCAGCAGCAGAACATGTGTTTTGAAGATACTGACTTCAATTGTTAGTGCCTCCAGTTATGAAAGATCAGGTGAAAAGAAAGGCTTCTGAATGGGTGTCTGGAGAGCTGCTTTCAGTAGGGTACAGATAGTCCTCCAGTTATGACAACAATTGGGACCAGAATTTCCATCACTAAGTGATGCGGTTGTAAAGCATGATGTCACTTGATCGCATCACTTAGTTACGGCAATCCTGGAAGTCCCCATTGCAGTTGTTAAGCGAAGACCATGCAGGTTGTTAAGCAGGACCTCACATGACCTCAACATGGGAAGCAGCGGGAATCCAGAAGTGCTTGCTTACACCACTGTAACCCTGTCCCAGGCAAACAGGCTGGTGGGCAAAAGGGGGGGGACAGGTGCCATGGGCAGACACTACAGAGACAGGTGGGTGCTATGGAGTATGTGATCCCCATACCACTTGGGGGCTCCTTGGGAGAAAAAACAGCAGGAGCAGGAGCGACTTACGACCTCCTCCTGGCTAACCATTGACATTGCTTATGGAAAGCTGGCAGGGAAGATCACAAATGGTGATCACGTGACCGTGGCACACTGCAACCATTGTAATTGCGAGCCAGTTGCCAAGCACCCAAATTGTGATTGCGTGACCATGGGGACACTGCAATGGCCGCAACGTCAAGGACCAATTGTAAGTCCCCCCTTGTTCAGTGCCATTGTAACTTGGAACAGTCACTGAATGAGTGGTCGCTAAACAAGGACTACCTTAATACCAACCTTCCTCGACTAGGTGCATCCTCCTGTGTTGAGGCCGTAACTCTCAGAATTCCTAGCAAGCATCACTCTAATTAGGAATACAGTCCGATGGGTAAAGTAGTCCTTGAACCATAACTGTAGAACTTTCAGCAGTTCTCAAAAATTATAGAACTCTTCTGAAGCGCTTGTCTTAAGATAACGAGTTTGTCTTGCATGTATGTGTGAGTGTGTGAGTGTGTGCATGTGTGCATGTGTGCGTGCGTGCGTGCGTCCATCCATCCATCCAAAGTAGGACCTAGCTGACTGTGCACAACTTGCACAATTCTAGTATATACTGTATAACCTGACACAGGTTCAATGAGCTACATCAAATGTACAACTAAATCAATTGCTACCTTTGGAACATTTGGGTCTCTTAAGCATTTCCATGGAAACAGGTTTTTCTGAAAGTAAACATTTTTAAAAATAAGTTTGTGGTGTTACTTTGAAGTTCACAAGAATGACAAGCCTATTTTCTACCATGAAAAATAGCTCTGATGAAAGGTGCAAAATTGTCTAAAACACCAGAACCCTCTGATTAACTCTGGGGCTCACCAAGGTATTAGTTTGTGTTAAAAGTTACTCTCTTTTCAAGTCTACCCTGATTTGAAAATCACCTTCCAAGCGGAGGACAGGGTAATTACACTGACTTACTACCCAACTCCCTTGAGCACAGAACATTAATCACAAGTGCTTCTTTTACAATTCCAGGAGCACAAGACCATCAACTTTCATTTTAGATTCTTAGATGGCATAGGAAAACGTACTATACAGGTATGTCTGTAACCATTAAAAAAAACAAAATCCCTGTTTCTCTCTTCAAATCATAATAAAAATAAATCTAGAACCTATAATTAATCAGTATGCTTATTTCATAGGAGTAGCGCAGATACATGATTTGTAACTCTTGATGGACAGATCCTCATGTTAGTCTGATGTCACGGCAGCTGTAACAGGCCTGCTACTTCTTGTGTGACTAGATAACAGTCTTACAGGAACAGCCCATATTGTAGCTCAGTATTTTCCAAACCTGGTCCCCAGCTGTTACCAATGACTTAGGGGGGTTGGTCTGAAACATCTGGAGGGCACCAAGCTGCAGAGGGCTACTATAACTCCAATTTCCAAAGACTGTTCATAGCAACAGGGAGGCACCCAAGCTGTACATGTTACTCTAGGTAAAAGGAATACTGCTATGGAGGCCCCCATGTTATTGAAGTAATGCCACAGCTAACAGACCTTTCTACTGGAACATTACGTGTTCTCACCAGCACATCCATAGGTGTTTCCACTAACAATGAACTGAAACCACCTCCAAATCTTTGCTATTCTGTTCAAACGCTGCAAAGGATGGAAACTTTGCAGTAAGTGATGTCTGGGGAAGGGGAAGTTAAAGTTAGTCATGGATCTTGATTACAGGAGTCCCTGCTGCTACTGGGTATCATTTTTATAAACACTCATCAAGTTCCAAAGCAAGAACAGGAAATTATTATCCCGATCTATTTCTGAGACCTCATCTATCAGCCTGAAGATTAAGATCCACTGGAGGCTACACCTCTTGTTTTCAAAGTAAGAGGTAGCAGTAGCAGCATGAATGTGCCTTAGTACAAATTATTATACTAATGGTCTTTTGACCAGTGATTCACACTCTTGAAAATCCATACTCTTTAAGCCAGCTACTATAAGAGCAATTAATTTCATTTTTCCCTCCAGGGACGGTACAAGAAGGAAGTTGTTTACTCCCCATCTGAAAAAAAAACAATTAGCATGCAGAGAGGATCCTCTGCTCTAAACATTAGATAAAGGTGTTAGCATCCAGATTTCCAAGGCAGGGCCCTGATTTATCCTTATTCTACAAGATCAACCTTTCCTCCCAGCGATATATTGGGACGGTAATTCTCAGAAAAGGAGCACTGCAGTCCTTGCACTTCTAATACAGCAAAGCTCACACACAAAATCAGTCTGGGTTTCTTCTTCTGTAACATTGCTTTCCCTTGAAATTTGGTTACTTATTTTCTTCCTCCTATGCAGGATGCATCTCTCTCTGCAGGTTCATTTTGAATAGTGCAAAAATGCAATGTCAGAATGCAACACACCAAGAAGGCCTAGTCTGCATGAGTTCCCCATCCTGGTGCCTTTCAGAGGCACAGGACTTCCACTTCCGTGATTCCTAAACAACGTGATAAACAGCTGGGAACTGTGAAAGTGGAAGTCCAATATATCTGGAGGGCTCAGGCTGGGAGAAGCCGGGATAGGTGATTCTGAATATTTTCAGTTACCTGTTCAGCCAAGAGTGAAGCGAGACTGGAATAGGCATCTGCAAAATCTGGTCCATACTGAATGGAATTTCTCAGGAGGAGAATTGCTTCCTCTTTCTTCCCTTGGGTCCTGAAAATCAAATAACAGGGAGTGGGTAGCAAAGACAGCTCTTTTAATAACTTACCCGGCTTGCCTATTGATTAAAACACACAGTTAACGTATTCAAAACTGCCTGTCTTGTCTTCAGAAAAGGCTAAATAATTCAGTTCTTCTACTGTCGCCTGGGACAGTGTTATATTCCACAGCTTGGCTGGGTGAATGGGAGGGGGAGAAGTGCTTGGATGTGTGAATGTTTTGTGCCTTGGTACCTGTTGGCAAATGCTTCTGTCCTCTGTTGGACAGCCTACGAAATACTCACAAAGCCCCCTTTCCTTGTTTTTCAGCGCTTGTTTCCATTTGCTATTATGCCAGGCAACAGAAACTGCCCAGAGAATCTCAGCAAAGCGAGCCCGGCGGACCGAACTGAAGACTAGAGGTACAGTATTTGAAGAGAGAGAGAAAAAAAGAGAAGACTCTGTGTGAGAAATTCAACAGTTCACCTAAGTCTCTTGTTCTCAAGGAAGCTGTTTGGTACTTCAGAAAGAAGGGGAAAGGCGTTCTCCCTACCTTCAAAAACACTGCAGTCAGCAATACTTAACTATGCTGGAACAGAATACAAGTCATGCAAAAATATCTTTCATTGGTGATTATGTGCCATCAACTCAGTGTTGACTCTTAGAGACCACATAGACAGATTTTATCCAGTCCCCAACTGGTCCTTTGGTCTTCCAACAGTGTACCCATTGCTGCTGTAACTGAGTCCCTTCACCTTGCTGCTGGTTGTCCTCTTCTTCTCTTTCCTTCCACTTTTCCCAGCATTAGAGTCTTCTCCAGAGAGGTAGGTCTTCGCATAATGTGTCCGAAGTAGGATAATTTAAGTCTGGTCATTTGTGCCTCGAGTAAGAACTCTGAGTTGATTTGTTTGATGATCCATGTGTTTGTTTTCTTGGCCATCTATGGTATTCTCAGGAATCTTCTCCCACATCAAAACTCCAAAGCATCATTACTGTACTCTGTGTATCCTGCTTCTTCAAAGTCTAACTTTGTCACAAGGAAAACCATTGCCTGCATGATTCTGATCTTCGTAGTTATAAATGTGCCACAGTATCTGAATACCTTTTCCAAGAGCTAGTCTGCTGCTTCATTCTTGATTGCTAGTTCCTTTATTGCTGATAGTTGATCCTAAAAGGCAGAAGCTATCCACCACTTCAGTATGTTCACTGTCAGTTCAAAGGCTGGTTGTTGTACCTGTTGTTATTAGGATGATCTTCTTTACATTTAATTTTAGTTCCATTTTTCCACTGTGTTCCTCGACTTTCATTACTAGAAAGTCATTGACTCTCACTGCAGATCATCAGCATAGTTCGGGTTACTTTGTTTCTTCCTCCAGTTTTAAAACCATACCTATCTTCTTTCAATCCAGATTTCCTCAATAAATATTCCGCATTGCTTTAATACCAGGATTTAATTTACTTTCTATGAATGGATGCTAAATCTGTGATAGCAAGACACTGGAAATTAATAAATTGTTTTTTTCATGGATAATGACAGGCTAATGTCTGGGGTGCTGGTAGAACAGAATAACTGAAAGCAACAAGCATTTTGCACATAAAGACCATTTTGAGACAATGTCACTACTGTTTATTTCATATGTTAATAGCAGCCAGCTGAAGGACTTAACATTACACTTACAACTTTCTTTTTCAGAAATATACAATTAAGCACCTATAATGCAAAACAACTGGCAGAGCAAAAACTGCAGGATAATCCTTTCCAATATAACTTTTTATAAGTTTTTTTTCTAAGTAGGTATCATTCAATCTAAATCAACCCAAATCAGTGAAAAAAAGGAGACATTTCCACTGTGTACAGTACTTTTTAAGCAAAGAAAGCATAGTGAACGTCAACACAGAAAGGACCCACAACTCAGTACAATTTAGATCTCAATCCCTGGCATTTCCAGATAAAAGAAGTGGTACCTCGGGTTACGAATGCCTCTGTTAACAAACTTTTTGGGTTACAATCAGCTCCGGCCACAAAAAATTACCTCGATTTGCAAACTCCGCTTGGGGTACGAGCAGGATACGCGGCCATTTTCCCTCCCGTGACACGGTCCGTGGCCATTTTTCCGCCCCTGACACGTGGTCTGCGGCCATTTTTCCACCCCTGACACGTGGTC